AAACTCACTTGGAATGGGTTTATATACGTGTTACGGTAGTCCAAAGCCACCACGAAGCCAACTTGCGCTAGCGGTAGTCCTTCGTCAAAGATATGGTATATGAATGACCCGCCGTACTGGTCCATGGCCTATGAAAACAAGTCAAGTTCACTTACAAATTCATAAATGGAGTCGATACCTCCTGCAATCACTTTTCAAGTGCAAGTTATTTTCACGAAAAAAAGCTTCGAGATCATTTTACGTCCCACGAAATAAGATTGGGCTCACCAGAGGCCACCCCATGGTGTGCTCAATATAGCCTGGCTTGTGCTTTGACGGGTCTAACTGCCACAGCTCTTTGAGTCCAATACCAAAAGACATGGGATGATTAGCCAGCTTGAACTTCTCCAGAATCTAAAAGAAATAAAGGAGACTTCTCATGAAATGATAAATGAAGCAGATCCGAAAAAAAGATGAAGAAATGTTCTGCGTATAGTACACGCAAAGTTCGCTTAAATCTCAGAAGTCAAAAATGATCTTATAGGTGCTGAATATTTTTGCTGGAACCATACGCTTCAATCAATATAACTTTTTCTGGGATATGGGTGCACCCGTGCATGCGGGCATCTTTGTTTCAAACGCCCTGTTTTTATGGCTCTCCTTTCGCTTACCATTTGTTTGTTTTCATAGAAGTGAATGATTTGTATTGGATAAGGAACTTTTCGCGCGCGGATATTATGAGTGCGCCTTATATCTTAGAAAGTAGGGTAGTTAGTTCAATTTAGTTCAATAATATACTGGACAAATTAGCTGTTCACGGGATTGGCTTCAGTGAAGCCAGCCTACCTTTGCGGAAACCCCATGGAGCTTTAAACAAGTTTTTGATCCAAAGAACTTTTCAGATTTCGGGAAACTCAATCAGCTGATACGAATCCAGTCGTTTTATGTACCTAAGTAAGGATGAAGGATAAAGCTTCCACTGTTGATAAACCCTTTATGTGTTCCACATCCAACCAAAATCGTAGCGGCTTTTCGAATACGATATCGCCTATCCAATGATTTTCGGCGATTAGCCGAGCTTTTCATGTTTCCGGGCAAACCTGGTAACAGTCTCCGGTCGGAAGGAATGGATAGCTTAGTTGGCTCGGGAGGGGGTGGATGACCTTGTGACCGCGTGCATGGTAAGCGACGCTAGTCACTACTACACTACCTCCACTACTCAGCATACCGCCTACAAAGGGAGCCACTTTGATGAAACTTCCGCCTGAGTGGTAGGATTTCTGCAAGGAGTCGAACTAAACTGAACCCATTCGACTGTACCAAGAATTGTGCCCGCAATTTTTCGGTTGCACCACTGTCTGATCAAACACTTGAAATGAGACCCGAAGTGAGACCTCAAAGCAGCAACATGCCGAATATGAAAAATAACATTACTTGTTTGGTAAGATGACCACGACATCCTTCTGCAAATATTGTACATTTTCCGTGTAATTCCATTCCACGAGCGAAAATTTTCCTGCAAATAGAAACTTGGGGATCAGTGATCACACTGAATGGTACCTTTTGGGATAAGGGGTACCTTCGGGGATCCATCCTTCGCAATCCCAACATCGTTTGTAGCAATTCCTTTTACACTGCCATCTTCGTGATACAAAACCTGAACTCCGGTGTTGTAATATTCAGTACTGCTCAGCAGGAGCTCTCATAAAACAAACCTCGGAAGCAGCTACGCCAGGCCAGATTTCAACACCTGCGGCCTCTGCTTGTTCGCCTAACCATCTCACAACGTGACCAAGGCGGACAATATAATTCCCTGTGAAAAGCAAAATAAGATTTGAGTTTATTCTAAAGGTAATAATATCTGATTAGAGTACCGTGATTATAGAGAGGCATGCCAGGGAACATTGGAATAGGAATGCGTCTGTTTTTCGTGAGAAGAGCCACTGATTCCTTCTGAACTTCGCAGTATTAGTAATGACAGCTTGAATATGTACTCAAACTATACCTTGACTTGTTCGAAAACAGGAGCCCCCATATCTTTCCAATTCGGAAACAGTTCTTCGAGCGCTTTCGTTTCGATCACACCTCCTGAGAGAGTGTGAGCACCTACTTCCGGGGCTTTCTCCACAACACAAACCCTCACTTCTGCAAAAGCAATACAGAAGAAACTGAAGCAATACAACTCGCAGTCACCGCTGCACCTGGGCACAGGAGTAGTTTCTGGGACAGGATTCCCTGGAAACAAACCTTTCCCTTCCTTTTCTGCGAGTTGCTTCAATCGAATTGCTGCAGACATCCCACCCGGTCCTCCACCAACTATCACTACATCGTATTGATCACTTTCTCTTTTCATATCAATGTCCTTCCATCTTGGATCTTTGGCTCTGTCCTAAAAAAGCAACTTTTCTTTGAGCGCCATGAAGGCATTGTTGGACAGTCCTGTATATCTTCGTACCCCTTCCCCCTCTTTGAAGACAAATCGTACACTCACATCCGCGTATCCCAATCCTTGCCATGTGTTAGGTGAATGGGTCTGCAGCTATAGTAGCGTGCCGCTCAAAAGTATGCGGAAATGGAGGTGAAGGAGTGTGATAAGGGGAGACGGTCAAGAGTATCGTAATTCGCCGCTCCGCCGCGCGCGGCGACGGGTGCGGCATTTTCCTAATAGGGGTTTAGCCTGTCCGACTGGAGCACCTTATTTTACGTGGAACTACAACAGTAGATATTTATGCTATTAACACTTGGTTTATATTGCCTGTTACCGCCTTCTAAGAACTGGAACCATCGCCGTTTGCGGGCGCGACGTCGCACTGACGCCTATTAGCGCGACGAATTACGATTCTCTTACGTGTGCCAGTGGCGCGGTACGGTCTTGCCCGGCTCGCCGCCCGCAGCTATCCTCAAGGTTTTAGAAGCCACTTGTCAACAGCCGAAAGTCCAGCAGCGGACACACATGTGAGAGGCTAAAGAATAACTTAGGCAACGAGACGGTGCAGGAAAATAGCGGCGTGTGGCTACGTCGAAGCGGGCGATCGGCTGCAGCGGCGAATGTCAGGCCTTCTCCTTTCGCGTGAATTTCTAAGGGCGAACCCAAATGTCACGCTTACTGCAGCTGTGGACCTATTCGCCTAGCACATATCGAGGATTAGGATCAACGGAATGAGTGTACAACTTGTCCTCAAGAAGGGATGGGGAGGGAGGGGAAGAAGACAGCAGTTTTCTATTCGTTAGACGAAAATTGTAGTGTTAACAATGGTACGGATTAGAAAAAGCAACCTTGATGGTGTAGTGAGTAGTCGTCCACTGGCCATTGACGACGTGCCTGACCGGATTTGTCCATCGTAATAATTGAGTTGTGGAGAGCCGCATGCTTACGAGTAAGGCACCTGAATTCGAAGCAGCCCTCGAACAGCAGTTCCAGCAATAAGTGTAGTAGTAGTAAGGCCGTGACCTGCATAAAGGACTGTATCCAGACACCAGCACATAATACGGTCACCACGATTTACAAATCAAAGTAACGTTCATCGGTCGGACACCGCGCCGATTCCAGCGCATGAAAAACCTATGAGCATGCATTAAATACTTGGAGTCCACCAATAATAAGCAAACAATTGAAATCACAGGACATCTGTCTACCGCGAGGGCGTGACTTAACGTTTCGTCGCGTCGTCTGCCGTCTATCAACATAACCTCGTCATCCGGGCAGTTGATTAGGGCGGTCGTCAACGGGCCGCAGCGCGTGCCAGGAACTATTTGCTTTTCCAGGCTAATTTAGTCATTTTTTCCACCTTGTGAAGATAAGGAGCTGCTAATCTGGGAAAAAGTAGCCAAAACAGTGAAAAGTTGGAAAAAATGACTAAATTAGCCTGGAAAAAGCAAATAGTTCCTGGCACGCGCTGCGGCCCGTTGACGACCGCCCTAATCAACTGCCCGGATGACGAGGGTACACATGTCTCAGAAATACCACCATCCTCCACCGCGGAAATTCGTTAGCCAGTAGGTATAGTGTAGTTCGCTGCAGACGCTGGGGCGTGTCAGGCAGGATGACTTTGGCACGGTGCCAAACCGGTTCTCTACTAGCTGTTAAAGCGAGCAATTGACAAGACTGTATCATGTCGTTCGTATCTCTCGTTTCCCAACAATGTTGTCGCGTAACTGCTACAACAACTGCCAAGAGAACGGGTTTTTCACCGTGGCACACCCAAACTGCCTGACACGCCACACCGTCCGCAGCGACTACACTATACCTGAGAATCTGCTACCAGTATAGTGCAGTCGCTGCGTTCAGTTCCTTTATCATGGACGGGTTTCACCTGTGTGACGTCCATTTAGGACGTGCTCACACAAAAAGGACTAATTAAGACCCCGTCGGCAACTCGTCACCAGTGTTTCTTATATTTAAAGAACTATTATTGAATATCACTAGTGTGTCCATGAACAAATTGCACCGGTTCTGAGTGTCTCGAAAGGATCGTGCCTATTTTATAGACTTCGTCTCAGGTTTAGACGTCGAAATTTACCCTAATTCATATGAATTTGAACAATCCGCCTTCCGCGTAAGAAGTGGAACCAAAACCGTACTTCCGGTAGATGCCGGCCTTGTCACTTCAGGGACGGGGCGAGAGGCTGCAGCAGAATGATGTTCACTGATTTCGCACTAGGACCCAGTGAAGTCAGCGTGGCAGCGCCGCGTCGACTCTCTCTGTGTCTGCGACTCTCCAAGACAGCTAGCCGAGAAACGCATGCGATGCCGCGTCTTGGAAGTAACCCTCCATGCCGTTACACACTGCGCGCATTGGAAGGGTACTTCCTGAGAGACGGTCAAGATAATCGTAACTGGCCGCTCCGTCGATGAGCGCGACGCATAAAGCGTGCGGCAATGTGCTGCGAACTATCGATATACATCATTTTGTCGACTGAAGCAGCAAAACTCATGTGAATACGAGCGGAGGTAAGGCTTTATGCCAAGAGATATCGATTTTCCCCGTCCCTTTACATACAGATTCAAATGGCCGTACAGCACAACTCGTGCGCAGCGTCGCTGTCAACGCCAGCGCGGCATATTGCGATGTCTCCTCACATATCCCGAGATACCCATACCTATGTGTAGTGTGGAGCATCCACGTTGCAGCGATGTTACGGAAGCGTTACAAATGGTGTCACGTGTGTGGCATTCCCATCAAAACGTGATTTGCAATGTTGGGGGGAGGGGGTCAGAATACATAATAGAGCTCGCTGCAGTTGATATGGTCGCAGTTCTGGTCGGTCGGGCGGTTTCAGGAGGGATGGGATGAGCCTGACCGCGATGTTTCCACCACTAACCGATTACCGTTGGTAGTGCAATGCAGCCGGAGACGGGTTCATTTCGCTCCTCCTGGCACCGCCCCGACTAAATGCTCCGTTATGAGCCACAAGGTACTATGCTAAGCGTTTCTGAGCACCCCGCGTGGGACTAGCGACATACACCTGACGGGGGCTGTTCTCCCGTCGTTCGTAGCCCTAGCTACCTTAGCGTCTTAGGTCTTCGAAACAGAGCATAGAGCATTAAATATGTCCAGCTTTCTTTCGCCACGACTCGTAACGCTACTGAGGAGGAAATCTACTCTAGTCTATAAAGATCTTATCACATCAACCCCATCTCTTACATGGGTTACACTCTTTGGAGCTGCGAAGTAAACGAAACTACTTTCTTTCATACAATAGGAAATGGACCAACGTATAGATGAGTCTGTAAGAGTGATATCCGTAAACGATCGGCGTGCGGCCATCGAGGAAAAAACTCTGGACAAGCGCAGAAAAACTGCACCAAACACCCGTCACAGTAGTCACAT